AGAGAGAGAGAGAGAGAGAATGGGAGGCTAAATCCTTGTTCTCTTTCTAGTGAGCTTTTAAATGAATCCTCACCATCGATTCTATATTATTTGAATGGACAGCGGGGAGATGATAAGATCTCGAAGCGCTACTGAACGCTATAGCATTTGGCAGTTTTTTCTATATATATATATACATTTATATATGTATGAATGTATGTGTGTGTGTGTGTGTTCTTTCTATGGTTTACTTGGTTCAACGTCCTATATGTTACACTTAGAATGGGGTGTGAAGTGTGAGCATTAACTTACTTTGGTTGTCCCTTCCTTTGTTCCATGCCCCTAAAATAAGGGAGAGCATTCATTTCTTTACACAAATTTCCAAATAGTCTCTCAACCTCAGTCATAAGTTCCAAACCTCTCTCTCTCATCCATCCCATTCCCCTCTCTGCTCAAGCAGCAAGCTCTCTCATGATCTACTTCTTCAAGCCAAGGTGTCCTTCCCAAGATCTAACTACTCTCTCTTTCTCGAATCCCAAATTCCAATGGACCAAATTTGCAAAGCAGAGTCGCCTATTTATTTCCACCCCTAGACCCTAGCAAAGCAACAGCCCTCACTTTACCTCATGTTTCTTAGGGGTTTATGTAGACAGGTGACTCATTTGATATCTCCTTTCATCTTGTTCTGAAGAAGGCTGATGGGATTGCTAGTTCCTTGGCTAGAGAGTGGGTGGTGGGATAAGAGTGAATCATTGGAAAATCTATTCCACTGTACAGTATACACAAGGTGTGGTACTCGCTATCTGGTTTTCCTACTTCAAATTTTATTTTCATTCATGTGTCAGATATTGTTTTAATTCTTTGTTCTCTGTTTTTTTAGTCTTTGGCTTTGTGGAAAATTGGATATAATTTAGAAGTAAACTGAAGCAGTGGTTTTTATTTCATAATCAGGTCTTTCTTGTGTTCGCTGACGGTTCAACATATGCCATTTGCCCAATTGCCCCTTTTGGCAGGTATTATAGATAATTGTGCTGCATTTGTAGTTGTCTTGTCCTAATTATGAAACGGAAAATATGTGCTATCTTTTTTGAGGTAATATGTGCTATCTTTTTGTCCTTGATGCACAAGAAAGGTGATGCGTAATCTTCTAGTATGTTAGTATTTGATTTTCCTCAACTCAAGATGTTTAATTTTTCAGGTCTTTGTCATTGGAAAATTGAATATTTAGGATTTTTTTTTAATGGAACAGTGTTTATAATCGGGCTTCCATTGAAGAGATCTATAAAGACGCCCATACATTGGGATTAAAATCAGCCAACTCTAGAGCTGTTAATAATTCGAGTTTGGCCATCACTTGGTTAGAAGCAACATTTCCAGATTTGAATGATCAAAATGCTGGAAAAGGCACTTTGTCGACATTAAAGGCCCATCCATATGCTTCATTTGATGTCTCTCTTTCATTGCAGGTATGAATCCTTACTGTGTAGTGTGTGCACTAGCAATCTGTTAGTACAATAAACTTTTTTAGGGTGACCAGAAAGACTTTTTACTGTTTATGTTTTAATGTTGCTTCATAAAAATGAGCAGTTGTTGCATTTCCCTTACATTTGGTGCCTATTCACTTCTTGCCATTTGGTTCGAGTTTGAGCTCATACTAAATGCTCATGTTTCTAAGGCTTATATGCCCATTCTGATAGATTATGTACTGTTGGATCTCAAGAAATAGTATGTACTCTTGTTGCTCATCAAAACAAAAAAAAAAAACAGAAAAGAAATAACGCATTTAACACATTCTGTTATTTTTCTTATGAATGATCTTTCTTATATTCCTAGATTAGTAAACAAAATTCTAAGATGAGAATGAGCGAAATGTAATATTTGCACATGAGAATTAGTTTTTCAGCATAAGGCTTAATCTCTGTATATGAAAGCAAAATCAACACACAAATGATCATTCAGAAAAGGAAAAGAAAAAGAAAAAAAGTAACGCACACAAATGAACATAGCCCTTTACCCCAGAAAGGCATTACACATTTGTAGAGAGTAGAACAGTTTATTGCAAAGTCCTAATTTTTGGAACACTTGTGAAGGAATCTTGAAAGCAGGTTTGTAGGAACGAGGGCCACAGTGCAAACACAGAAGCTTCAGTTTGAGGTTGTCTCTGACTGGGATAGTCCTCTCGTACATCATAAGCTTCAGCACCCAAAGTAGAGCCTTCATGGAGGTATATGTGTTGGTCGGAGCGCTGATGTACTTCGCTTTACTTTGAAGCTTAAAAGTAAGGTGCGAGGAAAGGCATAATGCTAATCTTAAGGTGTGTGCAAGACAGAAGGGCTGCCTCAAAAATTGCAAAAAGTATGGAAGACTTTAGTGCCCGCCTAGCATTTTAGCCTAGGTGCTTTTCATTGCAAGCCTTCATTGAATTCAAATCCCACACTTATGTGCCAGAAATAAAATTTAGACGAAAGCGAATGGAAGATGAGATTATCTAATGGGGCTTCCTAGTGCTGCCTTTGTCCAATGGCGGTCATCCCATGTGAGTGCATCACAATAGGAGGTAAAGAAATGTAAATTACATATGGAAGTTAGCAGCTACAAATGACAGAAGTGCCATGTTTAAAGAATAATATGACTATAAGAGTAAAATCACAATCTTAACACAACATTATTATTGTGGTGTGTCTTTAAAATTTGATTCCTAATATTACTAAGTCTTTAGGGAAACCGGAACAGACCTAGCTGACACCCAAGGAGAGATGCGGAGACGCTCTGCTGTGAAAGTCAATTCGACTATGCATATGAAGATAACCATATCCTTCCAGCATCACATTCTGGGCTCAGGATGTTGGCCAATGCTCAAGTGAAAGCCGGGGTTACATTCTCCCTTGGTTGAGTAAATTGTTACTGGCAGCGTGTGCCGCAACATTGGTCATTCTTCTGTTGGAGTGTCTTTGTATTGCTCGTACAATTATTGATGTAAAACACATTTTTTTTTAATTACAGCATGTGCACCTTGCACATGCCTAGTGACAATAGAAATCACACTATATGTATGCATGAAGTCTATTTCTATAATACGGGCAGTAATTGAGTTATATGAGTTTATTACTGCAGTCAAAGTTTTGTGTGAAATCTCTCTCTTTTTAAGGGGCCGTTTGGCTACGTGGAAATCTAGTACATGACAATAGATTACAAGGAAATATGACATTTACACTGCTTGGGTACACTTTAATAGTAAGGAAATCGAAAGACATTACCCGAGATTTCCCTAAAAATCATGAAATCCATTACGCGCGGTGAGGGGTGAAAAATATATTTCAAGGTTGACGGGTAATCTTTGGAAATCTTTTACGTGCGTCTCTCTGTCCTGTCGCCGCTTAAAAAAACATTTCCCTCTCTCAAGTACATGCTGTAGCTTATAATTATGTAGCTTATAATTATTAAGGTAAGTAGAAAGTGAAAGTAGGGGATATGAAAAGGGGAATCTAAATTGATTTGAAAATATGTACGAGGACAATTTTCTACTGCAATCATAATAAAAAATTTCTACATCCCTCTATTTCCAATTTGGATTGTAGCTCTCATCTGACTCTCATATAAAAACAATTGTTTTTTTAATAATTGGTAGGTGAAAGTAAAAGGAAATCTAAATTGATTTGAACAGTTGTAGAACTTGATGAGGGACAATATTCTACTGCAATCATAATAAAAAAATTTATACATCCTTTTATCCCTAATTTTTGCAATCATAATAAAAAATTTCTAAATCCTTCTATCCCCAATTTGGGTTGTAGCTCGCCATCAGCTCTCGTATAAAAACATAAATAATAAAAATAATAATTTGTAATCGATGAGAAATTACACAACACAGTCATAATAAAAAATTTCACACAGCATAATCCTCATAAGAGATCAGTAAAAGCTTAATTGAAATAAAATATCTCTTTAGTCTCCTCCAATGCTTCAAATTTTTCTACTGCAATTACCAAACCTTCTAGTTTATTAATCAAACTTCTTCCCATTTTTTAACTTGTACCATAAATATTTTGATTTTGGTATCATAAATGTATTGCTTATTTGAAATTATATATAGAGAGACATTTGAAAGACTTCTATAAAAAATAAATAAAAATAAGGCTTATCACAATAAAATCATGTTATTCCAATCATATTATTCCAATGACTTATCCTGTTGAAACCAAGGTCTAATCATGTTAGCTAAACATAGCCATATTTTTCATATTTGGATGGTAATGCATTTCTCATATTTCTTCCAGATATAGCCAAACAGTAGCAATGTATTTCCCAAGTTGCATCTAAATACTACCAAAACAGTGATAATCCATTTGCAGGTAATGTATTATGCCTGTAATATATTTCACAGACAATATATTTCCAGGTATCCAAACGGCCCCTAAGTGTGACTGAATTCTTGTCCATGAGTGTTTTTCTTTCTAATATTCCTGAAAATCTCTCCATTTAAAATCCTCAGTTATTTATTATCAATACTAAAGTTTATAAGAGAAAGTCATGTCTACCTCCCTTAAAAACAGGGAAAGGTTTCTATACTTCCCCTACAGCATAGAAGATCTATGCTTCTCCTTCCATCCAGTCGTCCAATTTTGATCAAGAGAGCCACTCACCGTTTGATCTTAGATCCGATGTCTCAAAGTATTTTATTTTTATTTTATTTATACAAATTTTATGAATATGAAATTTGGTATGTACCATCTTCTCATTGGGGCGCACCTATAAAAAATATTAAAAATAATTTTTTGATAAAATATAATGACCAAAATACCCCTTGAAACTTTCAGGGGTATTTTGGTCATTTTATTTTATTGGAAATGTTTTTTTAATATTTTTCGCTGGTGTGAGTTTAATAGAGAATTGGATGTCCAAAATTTAGTGTCAAAATAGTTTATAGAAAAAAATTGAAAATAAAATACTGTAGAGACGTGACATTGTGATTGGGGCAATCTTAGCCCTCCGTTCAAAATGGACGGTTGAATAAAGGGAAGCATATAAGCTTTATGCTGTAGGGAAAGCATAGAAAGCTTGCCCGACATCCACATTTTCAATAAAAATAAACTAGAGCAAATACATAAGAAGAGAAATCCAAAAATAAATAGATAAATACTAGACAAAGCTAACTAAATTATAATTGCTTCCACCGATTCCAATTATTTATCGGGATTTCATAAATCCTAGGTTTGGTGTGGGTTCCTTTTATTGTTACAATTGCCTTATTCTCAATTAAGACTTAGTGTTTTGGTTTTATGGGACCCATGTGTTGCCTTAGATGATGATTATGACCTTTCGTGAGATATTTTAATTTCTCTCGTAGGAAGCTAATGACCACTTTCATTTTTGTTTAGTTGACCACTACATCAAGTTGCACTATGGTGAGACTAATTCAGACATGCACAAATTGATGAACTATACCACATAAAATAATTCATTTATCATGTGTTTATTTTCTTGTTTTCGTAGATAAGTAGTGGTCTTATACATGCAACCCTAATTGTGTTATCCAAATAATTGTGAAGCGTAATTGATAAACATAATGTTAAAACACTTGTTTGCTCTAAAATCTAAAGGTTTTAAAATTAGCTGGATTAAGACATAGTATATGGAATGCAAGTTTAATAATAGGAGTAGAGACTAGGAAGTAGTTAAATTGACGACCAGGAAATACCACAAAGAGCGCACTTTCGATATCTTGGGTCAATAATCTAGGAAAATGAAGAGATTGAGGAAGATGTCGCACATAGAATTAGAGCTGGGTGGGCTAAGTGGAGATGTGCAACCGGAATTTTATGTGATCGCCACATGCTAATGAAGCTGAAGGGAAAATTCTATAGGACAACTGTGATACCAGCTTTGCTTTATGGGGCAGAATGTTGGGCAGTCAAATAAAACAACCCATAGAATGAGTGTAGCGGAGATGACGACGTTGAGATGGAGGAGTGGTAAGACAAGAAGGGATAAAATTCGAAATGAATACATTCGAGAAAATTTGGGTGTGGCATCAAGAGGTGATAAGATGAGAGACAATAGGTTTAGGTAGGCTGGCCATGTGTGGTGTAGATCCAGTACAACTCCTGTTAGGAGGTGCGAGTTAGTTCAAGTAGAAGGTTAAAAAAAAGCAAGAGGTAGGCCCAAAAAGACATGGTTGGAAGTAGAAAGAAAAAATATAGGGACGTGTGGCCTCATTGAGGGTGTGACCTTTAATAGAATAGAATGATGGACTAGGATTCCTGTAGCCGACCCCAATTAGTTGGGAAAAGGCTTTAACGATGATGTGATGATGACTAGACAAAGCTCAAAACCTTGTGCAAACTCTTGCTCCAGTCTCCAGGGACACGTGGATGACCTATTTGCCTAATTTATGACGTTCTTCAGTATCCCTCAACCATCAACATGGCGACTTGTCTGGTTGAAGAGTTTGGGGCTTCTAGGATGA